CGAGACTGCTGCCGTCGGTGGCTGCTTGATAGATTGCAGCGGGGACATCGTTTCGCTCAAAGATATCACGGTAAAGGGCGGTGGACTCGGGAACCCAAGACGTCGTGGGCCAAGCGGCGGCAATAGGCTGTAGGGATCGGTCAGAACCATCCAGAGCAGGTCAAAGAAGTGACTGGCCATTGCTGTGACTTGAGTTGAGGGGCGCAACGGCTGGTTCTGAGTCGATGGATGAGATGCATATCCAGTACAACGGAAAAAAGCCTCACCGTGACGGAGCCGGCGGGAACGATTACCGGACTCTCAACCGCGGAAACGGACTAATTTTAAATGTTTATTGCGAAGAAGGCAGAGATCACAACACGTACCGCAGGGTGAATATTGGCTGAAGAAGCGGCGGTTGGAGTCGTCTGTGTGTTCATTAGTTTAAAGGAACTGGATTCCAATCTAAACATACCGATAGCGGAGCACGGCGCTGCGGGAGAGCTGGGGGAGTGGGTGCAGTCAGGATGGGAGCGATGGGTGCGTTCTCATCGTCAGACTCCTGGTCTGACTCGGGGACTCCACCAGATGTGTCGCTGGCACCGTCATCATCCCCCCAGTCCATCTCGACCGCCTCACTGAATTGAAGGTTGTGGCGCTTGGTGAGGCAGCCATGCCTCCGCGGCCACGCATTGTCGATAGTTTCCACAAAGGTGAGACCAGGGTACCGCACAACTGAAGAGATATAAACATAGGCAATTGAGTGTGCAATGAAACTTACTCGAGTGAAGAATGAAACGATCACCTTGAACACAGTATAAGGGGGGTGCGTACAAGTTTTTCAAGGCTGGTTCGAAAAGATCCTTCAGAGTGAGCTCGGCGGTGATTGACTCGCGACGAAGATGAGCAGCGCCGTCCCCGCGATTTTTGGCGTTGTTGACGTAGACAAGAGCCTGAAGTTCCAGAGCCTCGTGCTGAAGACGAGTGCTGGGCCCGGCGGGCAAGGGACCGAAGGCATAGTGCCTTGTTCCGACGCGCATATTGGCAGAACTCATCTGGAGAATACTGCTGACCGAGGTGTTCTCCGAGACGTTGTAATCAAAGGCAAGTTGGTTGGTCGCAAGGTAATGCTGATGAGCGGCCCTGAAGTTCTTGTAGAGGACGACCTCCTGACCAGTCTAAAAAGCAGACATGTGGGCGGTCGTAGAAAGAAAAGGAAAAGAGAAGAAGACACACTTGAAAGGGTTGAACCAAGTTCGTAACCCTGATCTCCCGCACACCGGCAGGGTTAAAGGACGAAACCTTCTCAAGTGTCGTCTGCGGTCCCTGATGAAGAACGACACCACGAACAGCAGGCCCTCTACGGCGGCGTGGTGGAAGGGCCTGGCCAGGGACACCGAGATGAGCGGCCGCGGCCGAGACACGGCCAGCATTAGTCCGAGAAATTTGGGAAGTAGTGAGATCGCGGAGACGAGCCCGCCGAGCACTGTTGCTGTGTCCCCCGGCGAGCGGGATAGCGAGGCCGGAGACCCCGAGCATGGGCTGAGTTGCAAGCGAAGCGGGGGAAAGGGTAGACGGGATCGGGTGGCCATTGGAGGCGGCCGGAAGAGCGAGGGAACGAGAACTGGTATACGGAACGGCAGCGGGAACAGCCAAAGTGGGGAGCGGAGTTGGTGCTGGGCCGGAGTCGGAGTTTGGCGTTACCGTAGAGTAATTCCCGCTGGCCATGGCTTCGCGGAAGAACTGCGACATCATGCCCGCAAACATTCCATAAAGGGGGTTGTTTTCTGGTAGAAAGGTGTCAACAGAAGGTTCCGTAACGCAGGGGAGAGACATCACATACCGGTGGAAGACATTTATTGATGGGTTAGAGAATTCCTGGAGCGAAGAGTGGACAAAACGGGTGGGGTTCGCAGCAATCAACGATTTGAGTCGGCTGCGGTCTTTTAGATGAAATACGGTTGAAAGGGGTGTCCCCTGGCGGGGGCAATGAGCCCAATGATGGGATTGGAATTGGGTCATCCCTGGGTGTTTGGGTTGGGTTGGGTTGGGTTTGGGGAATGGGATAAACACGATAACGTGATCGTGTTTGATTGATGCCAGGTTGACTTCCCTTTCGGTGAGGCCTTCACAGCGCGGCACGGTGCACAATATGTGGGCGAATGTTTTAGCGGCTTGTGGACACCACAAAAGTGGCATGCATCACTAAAATGAGTTGAATCACACCGGTGAACTGTGGACTTTAGTGTGCATTCGGATCAAATGAATGTGCACCGTGGATTATGACCTGTCCCACGGTTGAAAGTAAATAATTTTTGACGATAAATACTGTCATACCCATGCCACGAAGCTGTAGAGCTGTCGAAGAGCTGTGCTGTTGACCCGCGACAGCCTAAATCTCGCTACTGCGCTTACAGGTAGCAGATACCGGTCCACCGGATTTCTGAACGCGCGGGAGAGGTCCGAACAATGTGAATAGGCGTCGCGTGGCCGACGCAGCACTTGCATGGTGGGTTCTTGAGAGCGGGAGGTTAACACTAATGGGTGAGTCCTAGTTCACGGAGCTGCATATATTCCCATGCCACGAAGCTGTAGAGCTGTTGAGGAGCTGTGCTGTTGACACGCGACAGCCTAAACCTCGCTACTGCGCTTACAGGTAGCAGATACCGGTTCACCGGATTTCTGAACGCGTGGGAGAGGTCCGAATAATGCGAATAGGCGTCGCGTGGCCGACGCTGCACTTGCATGGTGGGTTCTTGAGAGCGGGCGGTTAACACTCGTGGGTGAGTCCTACTTCGCGGAGCTCTATATATTCCCATGTCCATCAGGAAAACAGGTTTTCCTGAATCTGTGACAATCGGGCTGGATTTGGCGCATTTGGTTGAATTGTGAACAAATTATGAACAAATTGTGCTTAGCGAGCACAAATCACAAATTTTCAAAATCGGACAAACCCGATCGTGCAATTTGGATTTGTAACAAATTTGTAACAAATTGGGCACAATTAGACGGCATTCTGGCAGCATTTGAGTGCTATTCAGGCTCATTTCTTCATCCTTTAACTCACTCAAGACACACGAGGTACAGAGAACACAATATATATTGGGAACTATCTACACAAGAGATGGTACGTCGTAGGTACGTTGTACGTGGAGTGAAAAGATAAGCAAACCTAGCGAACTGTACCCGATTAAGTGAAGGAGACGGCCTATGACGATTATTCCGGCGTGCAATGGTTAATCTATGTTCTCTGTCCTGCGACCAACGTGAGAAAGACAGGAGCCGAGAACAACTAAAGTACTTGCCTCTTGAGCAAGCTGACGCAGACATAGAACGAGGGTTTGCATGCCTGAGGGAGGGTACAAGTGGCAGGGTGCAGAATAGCCAGAAGAGTTTTGGTTAATTCAGAGGAATGCCGGTAAAAGCAAAGAACACACACCAGATCGGCCGGATTACGACCTCAGCCGCCAACGATGGAGGCGATGTTGACGCCTGACCATGGGATGTGACCGTCAACGAACACGCGCAGATACGACGTCCCCCTCTGCATCGAGCCACGTGCACGGGAGGAAGCTTGTACACCGCACATTCATGGTACACCTGTGCCAAGCACGACGGAGTCTACCTGGGCAGATGGGTAAGTCTGAGAAAGAGAGGGAAGGGACTGTGCGCTTGAATGAGGCGCACAAATGAGGTGGGTAGCGGAGGGCACTCGGACATGGAGAGCACGGACCGCAATTGGATGCGATGAGGCACGAGTGGGAACCGAAACTTGGAAACCAGTCAGTCAGATTGACGGGGGCAGCGGGCACACATACCACAAGTTTTGGGATTGGATGCGGCCTGAAGCTTTGGATGTGTCTAGAAGAGGTCCACAGAGTCAGTAAGGTCCCATAAAGACCCTTAAACTTACCCTGAGGTGATTTGGGTCAACGACGAGCGAGTTTAACCTGAAGATGAAGGGAGACCGGCAGAGACAAAAGGGGGGAAGATGAAGGGAGGAAGCAGGAAGTATTTGACGTTGTTGTCAACTAGATCAAACCGAACCATTTCCGCGCTCACGTGTGCAGATCCGTGTTCCGGTTGGCAACGCGATGGACATTCGGGTAGGCTCGCTAAGCCTCGCTTGGACTTGCACAGACATCGGTGGCCTTCGTTGATACTTAATCTGGCGCCTAACGCCTGCCACTTTACTGCCACTGATCATGGCCTCTGACCGTTACATATCCATCTCTCTCCCTTAATGTTGAAAACCCTTGGGCTTTCGCCCTACCACATCTACAGTACCGATGAGATTGTGTTTTTAAACACCTTCAATGGGTACTGATATAGTCATTCAACACCCTCTGACGACGCCAAATGAACCATTGATCACAGCAAAGTTGTGTAAAATTCTGCCGGGCGACTCACGGATTCAGCACAATTTGAACATCATTTGTGCGACTTGGCATCATTTGTGCCGCTTAGCATCGCTAACCTCGCTTGGACGGATTGTGCCAAATTAGTACAATTCGGCCAAATTTAGAAAAGGGGGTTTTCCTGATGTCACGCAGCCGTAGAGCTGTTCAGGAGCTGTGCTGTTGATAGAGCCTTTTCGGAGTGGCGTGACAAACTATGGCTGGGTCCCGAGTCGAACGGGCATTTCCTACGGGTTGATTTTTGATCTTTTTATACCACCTACAGATGACGCAGACGCCGGACCGTCCGCCACCGAGCCGACATAATTACTCTTGTCAAGCTCGATATGCACCCTTTCTTTCAAGTCTTTGCCTAGACCATCAAATCATGGGGTTGATTGCGTGGGACGTTGAACTGGGATCCGCTGGCACCAGTTTGAATGCTGTCGGCTAGGCTCGTAACCAGCCTGCCCTCACGGAAGTGTAAACACGTTGCCTACGGCATAGTGCTTGCACTCAGAGTTGCCGTAGTAGCAGGCTGGTCACGAGCCTAAGTACCTGTCGGCGTGGTTGAGTGCCGTTCAAATGTGTACCAAAAAAATCGGAGTCGTGTCGAAGATGGAATGGCTCGGACCCGAATCGAACGGGTGACTCTTGCGTTAACAACAGTTGAAGACCTGAAAGAAATGCAAGGGCGAACCATTCACTACCGAGCCGACGGTATGCTTATCCGGATCCTCAATACACCCTCTTGAATGTCTTGCAGTAGATTTAAATCCTGATTCATCACAATCAAAAGGCTCTCCCCAACTTCGCTGTCATATCCCATTCAATCTTGGCATGCTACGCTGTTACTAGTTAGATATACTCTAGTTGATTCAGGCCCCATGGCCAAAGAGTTCATAAGATGTCCCAACAGTGACTTAAACCCGAATTGAACGGGTAACTTTTGCTTTAACAGGATATTCACGACAAAGTGCAGACCATCCCGATACCCACTTATAATTACTTCCCTTCCCTAACTATCTAATCCGACTACTTGAGGCCAAGTAGTCGTTCTTTAAGGCCAATCCTGCCTTAAAGCAACATAATATTTTCACCAGTGACCCCAAATTGTATGCAATCTGACTTTCTTGTTACTTTTGGGCCGAAATCGTCGCCTACCTGGCTTTTTTTGGGCCAACCTGGCTTTTTCATTAAATCAGGCCCACTGTTGCTTTCTTTAAGTAATAGGCCTATCACCTACAAGAAAACAACCTCACCTCAAATCACAGCAAATGGCTTTCAATCTGGCGCAATCACAGCAAATTTTCTGCTTTAAGCTTAAACCACTGCCAACTTGGCTTTTTGCATGACCTAAGCCCAAATCCGCTTACCCTAACACTTTTTTTCCCACCTTAGCTCAATTCCACCTATCCCAACTCTTCTTTCCACTCTAACCTTGAATTTACCATCTCAACCTTTTTTGTTGCAAGTTTCTACTCTAAGTTCAAATTACTACTAGCCTGGCTTTTGTATAACCTAACCCCCGATTCGTGAACTCTAACCATTTTGGCAAACCCCAACCTCAAATAGCTCTATTAATGTCTAGTGCCTTGCTTTAAGGCAGACACGTTGTTAAAGAATGTCACTCGACACCCTCTGAATCATCGGCAGAGGTATGCACCTCTACATAAGGTGGCAATGCAATTGGTCCCTCCAGCAAGTCTTCTTCATCAATGGGTATACCATCACGACCGAGAGGTTCCAGCGGCAGCTCCGAGTCCTTACCGCTCAGCCATCTGATGATCCACCCGCGCTCATAGTCCTCCGAGTCCACAAGCAAGCCATCACGCAACTTCACGCGTTGGCGGCTGAAGTACACCCATGCAAAGTCGAGGTAGAGTGCCGTCTGAATAATACCGCACACAACGGCGATGGGATCGACCATGTTCTCAAAAACGTAGCGCCATATCCAGTTCAGAATATACAGGGCGCGGTATGAGCCGAGAGCGAGCAGGTAGTGCGAGGTGATCACGGTCGGCACGGTGGTTTCCCGCAGGAGGATGAGTTGTGGGATGACACAGGTGGATTCAAGAGCGATGGAGAAAGACCACAGAACCTAAGGGGTCGCGTCAGCCTAGGGGGAGATTGATATGATATTGCTCATGTGCGTACCTCGGTTAGGGTAAACTGATAGTTGAAAACGGTGGAGAAAAGGCAAGTCGCTGCGAGTGAAATGCCTGTGGCCTGCCAGGCCATTCGGCTCTCGGGGGTGCGGGGAAAGATCCAGCGCATGAGCCCAAGAACATAGAATGCCGAGATGATGTAGATGACTTTCACTATGGCGTTGTAGATCCAGACAAAGCGGAAGGCGATGTCGAGGTAGCGCGTGACAAACACGAGCGCATACATCGCCTGTGTAAGGAAGGAAATGCCTGCAGACAGTGTGAGGCACGGGGAATGCCTCTTGAGAAGGGTGCAACTCACCTTCAGCACTTTTATTCCAGTGAATGGACCAGATGAGAATGCATTTTGCGGCCATGTGAGCCAGGTCGCCCAGCAGACGAAAGGGATTCATCGAGTGATATTTGTGGAACTAGCTCCAGTAAAATGGGTGGAAACGTCGAGAGGTAGGATGCAGCCGTGGAAGCAGTTTTCAAGGGCTCCCGGCTAAACAGCCACTTCTCTCGTAACAGATGGTGACTCCCGCCTGTCGCAACCGGAGGCGGTGCTGTCGATGGTTGCTTCAAATATTTCTCCAGAAAACGGGTATGATTAGTAGAGCCGGCAAGCGGCGGGGCACAAATAGAACCAGAGGTTTTGCTCGGGTGTTGCGCCCGACCTCGTTCCTCGGTCGGCGCGATCCCCTCGCACGAAGTCTGAAAAACTAGGGTGAAAAATATTTCTGGTTGATTTTTTTCGGGTACCTTTTTGGCCCGAGCGGGTCAGCTTATATAAGCCATTTCTGGTCGGACATTTTTGGAGCTCAAGAGCACAAATTAGAACTAACGTTCTATTTGTGAACATGAATAAACTATGCGTTCTCATAACCTCGTTATCAGAGAAGAATTTGCTGGAACACTCCCTTTTGGGTCGGCAGCTCCGGTTAAATGGATAAACTGCGTGTTCCCACGTTCCCACCAGTTACATCGTCACTCCCTTCCACCATGTTGATTTTGGTCGCTCTCCCAAACCCTTGCGCCCCTCCCTCTGGTGTACTCCGGGCCCGTTGTGCAGCTACTGTTTCGTGCGGCTACTGTTTCATGCGGCTACTGTTTCGTGTGCGGCTGCTGGTCTCGCGGATACTGTCTCGCGGATACTGCGGATACTGTTTCGCGGATACTGTTCTCGTTGCCTCAACCCTGCCCCTGCTACGGAAACCCATGCATCGCCCGCGGATGCCATCTTCATGGGGAGTACTGGCACTGGGAAGGGTACGCTGCACTCGTCCTGCCGCCTGTGGGGCATTTCGGGGGCACTAGGGACGACTCGGGTAATGGTGCTGCTGGCAAAATTTGGGCACCCACGCACGGACCCTCCACGGAACTCGGATCTCCCGCGTTGCTATCCGGCTTCCCCCGTTCCCCTTCGGGCGCTTCGGTACACCGGTTTCCTCAATATCCGCGAGAACTATTTCTTCTCCCTACGAAACGTCGCGCTTAATTTTTCGCAGCCAGACGATTCGATACCCGTACCTCATGTCGCGCCCCGGTTCCGCTACTGCAGAATTTTTTCTCTGTCCGCTTTTCCTTTTTTAAAATCTTTTATCTAGACCTCAAGAAACAACAAAATATGTGGTCGTGCCGTGCACACATTCTGCAAAGGGACAGCCGTACAACAACGTGCTGAGGACTGGTGGACCCCGGGGATTTTTGTCGGGGGGAAACTTCGGGAAAGCGTCTGAACACCTTGTCAAAGTTTGACAGGCTCCCATCAAGACTGAGTACCCGGTTTGATGCACAGCCTACGGTCGTGATTCAGAACGGTTTGCATGTAGGCGGGGATTAGAGTGGATGTAGCTAGGGCGGGTTGCCGTGGCGGGCCACGGTGTGACGGTGACGTGACCGGTGAGCAGTTGAGAGCCGGCGGCTGTGATTGAAAGGGGAGGGAAGGTGCACAAACGGATTACAAGTGTTGTGTTCGTGGAGGGATGGAACGCTTGTGTCAGGCACGAGGTATCGTGCCGGCAGGAACGCACACCTGAATACGAACACGTGCTTCTCCAAAGGTTGTTTTAATATATATTTTCCCTAGGCATTCTTTACAAGGGGAGCCTTGTAACGTCGGTTTTTCATTAATGGGAACGGATCCAGGAGACGGAATATTACGAGGGTGACTAGGATTAAGCCCGTTCGATTCGGGCCCGGGTGTTGCAGCAGTTGATGTCGCATGGTTTTGGTGGTGGCTGTGATGCAAAATCGGGCGTAAGAGGTGAGGGAATAGGGTTTGCTGTTCAACACAAGGCAGCGAGGGTTGTAAGTAACCCCCGTGGCATGTTGGATGCACCTGCGTAGGATGATTGACTTCCCCGAATGGTGCGGGTTGCCGTGTTCAATTCACGGTGCGGTGGCGTATGTCCCACAAGGTAACTTTTGTTTTTGAACCAGGTTTTGTTCAATAATGCCTGGTGGGGGTTGGCACACGGCTGTCGTCACTGTCATGTGGTTGGAACAGACTGACACACGGTATTGCCATTGTCTTGTTGATTGAATATGGCAAAATGTGTTGTCTTCAGCCGTGGCGTGGAACACGGATTCAATGCCTGCCTTGGCATGTAGGATGCACTGCAACAAGATGAGGGGTTCCCTGAATAACATTGCACAGAACCGTGTTCGAATCACGGAGGCGGTGTAGTAAGGGACACCTGGTGTTTTTCGGTTCCTGTTGGGGCGGTCAAGGGAGTGGAGCAGTTGTATACAGGTGATAGGAAGGCCCTGTGGTGGTCCACTTCTGTGGCTTATAACTTTGCAGGTATGGTTATCCTGAAGCAGAGTCGCCCGTTCGATTTGGGCAGGGTCGTCATGGATCAACGCACTCTTTTTCGTCGGGGGGTGAGTCAGTGTCACGGAAATGTGTGAAAGGCTGAAGTTGGGGGGGACATGAGCGGTTGGGATGGAGACTGGAGTTGTTGAAGTGTGCGGAAATGGGGTCAAAATGGGTCATATACTGGGCTATATAGAGGTGTTAGCAAGGCCTGGTGGTGGTCCACTTCTGCGGTTTATAACTTCTTGGGTATAAAGATCTCGAAGCAGAGTCGCCCGTTCGATTCGGGCTGGGTCGTCGTGAATCAAAGCACTCGTTTTGGTCGGGGGGGTGAGTCTTTCTCACGGGCGTCTACAAGGTTGTAGTGGCGGCAGTTTACGATCGGGATTCGTAGTAGGGATGAGCCGTCGGGATGGAGACTAGAGTCTTGGAGTGTGGGGGCTGTTAGGGTAGAGTGCGATTTCCCGGGATTCTCGGGAAAACGGGTCTTGATGTGGTCAATGATAGGAGTGCAGGCTGGCCAAGCAAGGCCAGGATGGGAATGTGCCGACTAGGGTATTTATTTGTGTGAAAAGGAGGTGAACAAGGCATCAAAATGGTTCATGTCCTGGGCTATATTGACACCATAGCAAGGCCCGGTGGTGGTCCACTTCTGTGGTTTATGATTGTTGCGGAAAGGGATCTTTAAGCAGAGTCGTCCGTTCGATTCGGGCGGGGTCGTCGCGCGTCAGAGTGACTCTTTTTCGAGTCG